GCTTTTGTTTAATGTTTGTTGATAGAATGAAAAGGTAATAAAAGATAGTCCTTAAAGCATAACTTTGGATTCGAGGTGTTTGGTCAATGATTTGTCTTTTAGTGTTACATTTTTAGATGGAAATATCTATGTTTTTCTTTTTCTTTTTCTTTCTCCTTCTTACAGAATGAAGAGGTCATTAGATATATTACCATACCTAATGCTGTGTTAAATTTGGCCGATTCCTCATCTTTAGTCATCGATGAAGAAGGAACAATCGACTGCAAATTCTCCGAGTCGTCTGTGAAGCAAGTGGCTGAACGCGTTTCATTCTTCTCTGGAGACTGGAGTGGTCTTGAAAGAAAACTTTTGATGCAAAATCCTCATGAAAATTCAGAAGTCAAACTGGCGAAAAATGCAAACACTAGCAGCTCCGAAAGTGACTGTGGCGAGCTAAAGTTTGATGTGATTTTAACTTCAGAAACAATATATAATACAGACTGCTATGAGAAACTTCTGCATGTGATGACCAGTTGCCTCAAGAGAAATGGGATTATGTATCCTTTTTGAGCCTTTTTTTAATTATCAACCGTTTCAAGTAATACAGTATTATTCTGTTTCAGAGTATGAAGATAGTTCCTTAGGATATTTATTTATTTATTGAAAATTTTCTGCCTTGTCATCAAGTAAGGTCACTTGTGAAGTATTCAAAAGACAGCAACAGGGTGAATAAGGAAGTTTTTTGGTTCATAAGGTTATGTTTGTCCCAGAATGGTTAATGGTTAAAACAAATAAATGTGCTAGACAAAAGTCATATAGCATTATGATAAAGTAATGTGGCAAAAAGAGTAGAAATTAATTAATAATCAGGATAAGTGGACAGAAGAGGATGAAGAAGAGAAGGAAAAGGAAATGGGGGGGGGGGGGGGAGAAAAGACCAAGCAAAATTAGTTGAGGCAAGATCTGAGGTCCAAGGTAGGTTTGATCTCCTACTTTGTGCCTCAGCCTCTATCTCCTACCCCCCCCTCCCCCCCAGCAACGAGCAAGGGATTGGGGGGATTCTTGGGATATTTCACTTACAGAAGTTTAACAAATGGGTGTCTGATTCCTTAAATTAGCATTCTTGGGACAATCTAACCAAAGTATAATCTTACTTATCATGTTACCTGATATTATTAAGTGTCCTTAGTGTCTTGGTATCTTTATTTTCCTGCTTATCATAAAATTATTATTTTGTCACATTTTCGTAATTATTTGAAACTTCTGTTAGATAAACCTATCTTTATTAGGAGACATGAAACCTCAGGTATTTATTGTTCCTTATAAATCACTAGCATTCTGGCAGCAAAGACCCATTATTTTGGAGTTGGAGGAGGAACACAGCAATTCATCAACTTTGTGAAGAAACATGATCAGCTGGAAGTTAAATCATTTGTTGCAAACAGTCAAGGTAGGTAATTCTGACTTGTACAAACTTGGTACTAGAAATGCATATATTTGTTTTTAATTGTGTATATATATATTATTAATTAACAGCCCATATTTGAATTCACACAATTTCATTACATAAGATTCTTTGATTTTCAGGTCTGAAACGAGAAATCCTAGAAATGAGATTCAAAAATAAATGAGGAGAATTTTGCATGTCCTTTTATTACTGCCCATGACAGTTTCCCTGTTGTATAATCCTTATATCCTAATGGAAGACTTACCAGACATTGGTATGGGTTACCACTAGACTAAATACACTGTATACAAGTCAAATGAAATAAAAATATTCACTCGCACATTTACTCTTGTCTAACTCCTACATTTTTTTTTAACTCTTTCCTTTTTCTTACTCTTTTTTTTCTTCATTAGCCCTCATCAAAATGAAGACACCAGCCATTGACTGTCATAAGAATATGAAGACATACAGAGCCAAAGGTGTTATAGGTGTTTATTAAATATATTGTTCATTCTAACTTTCATCTATAACATCAAAGTCAATATATTCAACATCAATGCATTAGTCATGAGATCATAGTACATTAATGTGAACATGTCAATGCAATTTTAACTAAACATCTAATAAACGGGCAATTGATCTGTGAACACCTTTGGACTCGCATGCCTTCCTATTTTTGTGACAGATGGTGCCTCCCTTGATGTGGGATAATGAAGAAAAAAATACCTTTGGATATGCATACCCTCATGTATTGACTGGAATACATATTTATTTAAACAATAAATGCACCTGTGTTCACATCTGTCTACATATAAGCATGGGTGTGTAAATGTGTAATAGATGGATATGCAAGTTTTCAAGTTCTGAATAAAGAAAGCACATTTATTCACACTTTTTACAATAACCAACAAATAACAAATCAACCCATAAATGAAATCAACAATGGAACCAACAATACATATGAAATAAATCTCTGATTTTTGGCATCCTCTTGTACACTGTGACCGATTTTATCTTTCATGGAGTACAGTTATGGCCTGAGAGAGAGATCATGCCTCTTTCATCTGCTGTCTTTCATGTTTCTATGGGGCCAGTCTCTCATAAACCCAGCCATCTTCTCCTTCATGAGTTAAGCCTTTATCTATGGTTTCGTCGGCTTTGGCTTTTCTGAAGCGGATCCTGTCATGAATGCGGGTCGTTTGTCCTTGCCAAAATTCAATTACTTCTGGTATCACACGAAAGCCACCCCTGCAATTAAAAATTTAGATATGTTATAAAGTCTTCCGGACTCTGGTTTCTTTTGAAGTAACTTAGTGATCCGTATGGGCGATTATTTTGCAATACTGGGTATATTTTTATTCTGGGTACTACAGCTATCTCACCATATTTCTGGTTTTGGAATGGATTTCTCTTCATCTTTGTATTCGTCTTGAAGTTGCTTTTCTTTATCCGTCAGCACGTGGCGACCTTCGATGACCTAAGAGTGACAATATTAGAATAATTCACTCTGCACTAATGATAACAATAATTTTTCAATCTGCTCTTCACTTCCTTTTTTGTAATGATGTATTAATTCTTGCAATATTTTATCATTTAGACTGGCTAAGGTCTGTAACACATGCTGATTCCATTTTACTTGCCTGACTTTGTGGGCTAAGGCATGCTCCAATCTGACTACTGCGAGGGCGGGAATGGAAGTAATCTGTCGACTCCTTTTCACTGATACGTTCTACGTTTCCTTCAACACGAACCTGGTAATTGAGAAAACATTATTTCACTGGTTTGAATAAGTTGAGGTACAAAGAAAATATTCTGTACCCTATAAATAAATGGACTAAAGAAAAATAAACACTTTATACCCAACTTTAACATCATTCCTGAAAAGATACTTATGGCACAATAAAAATGCTCAAAACCAGAAGCTGTCACAGTTTTTTTTTTTTTTTTACATATAGAGTAAGAGTTGTACATTAATAATTCTAAAAAAATGGAAGTAAAAGTGGTTCCGTCTTCAAACTTTACCAAAAAAAGGTCAGAAAATAGTCCAAAGTCCAAAGTCCAAATAACAGGGTAATCCTTACAAAAAAAAAAAGACATTCCATACATATATCAAATCTTATTCTCTACAAAACTAAGTCACAATCCCAATAAAATGTATTAAATTTCACACCTACATAAGGGAGTACTGTTAATTCTGAGCCAATATTTTTCTGGGAAAACAATGACAATTTCATTTCTTGAATTCTATAACAAATCGTAACCAGCTATTTAAGTAAGAATAAAACAATCATTATCACCACCATTTTATCAACAAAAATATTAGCAATTCCTATAAAACCTTTCTTACAAAAAAAAGTCAACGATAGGGGTAAGTAGGCCAAGTAATGGACATCTTGGCGACAAAGCACTTCAGAGGCCATCTACATGTAAATAAAACCAACAAAACAATACCACAGTACACAATGAACAGAGAAAAATACTCCTGGTATTCACTAATTTTCGAGTGACAGTTTTATAAATGAGCCTCCTTTTCACCGATACCAAAGTATTTCACATCGTAATTAAAAAACAAAAAAACCCAAAGCTGATGGGAATGGCATGTGTGAGCATGTCATACCAACAGTTAGTTTAATGCACTAGGGTAAACTTGCCAATTAGGATGTACCTGAAGAGAGAAAAGAAAAGAAAAGAAAAGAAGAAGAAGAAAAGAAAAAAAAATACACAAAAGCTATATTAACCCATTGCCGGTGGGGATGGCATGTACGTACATGCCATGCCCACTGTGAGTCGACTTGTTCGATTGTTTTTACACATAGATGGCTACACTTGTACTAAGTCACCAATGAGCCAATTACGAGTACTGCATGTCGCGCCCGTTCGCCCTTTTTTTCGATTTATGAAAATATTTAACGTTATCTTAATTTGCTGTTAAAAATAACACCATCTATATTTATAGCACTAGTAAAAATATGTTTTTTCCCACCAATTCAAGGAAAGGTGAAATCAGGACAAGCAGAGCCATCAATGTACAGAGATATTTCACAAAAATATAAACAATGAGTACAGTATTTTCCTAATTTTTTGTTCATTTTCCCGGCGGCAATGGGTTAACAAGAAAATATTTCATGTTCAAAATAATCTACTAAAATTCCCTGAATATGGTGAGCTTTTATTTCCATTAATTTTGATACAGCAGAGAAAAGTGTAAGAAAAGGTGACATAATTCATACATTACTTAGCCATGAGCTAAGGTAGTGACTGCAAAACTGAAATTTAGAACCAGTTACTCTGTACATTCTGTTCTCAGTTTGTTTCAGATAGATAGCTAAGGCTCTGAAAATAAATCCAAACCCTAAATTAGGACTTTGTATATGAACATGACTTTGGATATGACTCGCAACCAGATAGGGTATAGTGCTCTCAGGGTATCATGGAAGGAGCTCTAAATCTGGACTGAAAATTCTATCTAATACAGAAGAAAGAGTCCTAGTGAATTATATTACCAGATCAGTTAATCTTACCTGATTTCAACATCTTCTATTACAGCATATTTCAGACACAGTTAACTCAACAT